CCTCCGAAACCCCCAAACCCCAACCCGACACCCTACCACCTCCGAAACCTCTAATCTTTAAGGCCCTAGTTCCCCTTTCACAGCTCTTTTCGTCTGCTCCGACGGGTTTCAAGGCCCGATTTCGGGCCCCTCCAGGCTTGGCACGCAGGCACTCGGGCTTCGTAGGGATTTGAGCGTCGTGGGATTGGAGTTGAGGGTGTATAGGGTTTGTCGAGCTGAGGATTTCGGGTTCGGGGTTCTTGGTTTAGGGTTTGGGGTTCAGGGTTTTCGGGTCTAGGGTTTAGGGTTTTAGGGTCTAGGGTTGAGGGTTCCGGATTCTTGGCTTGAGGGTTTAAGATGCAGCGCTTTGTCGGTTTCAGGATTTAGGATTTGGATCGTAGAGCTTACAGGCTTTAGGCTAACGAACTGCCAAGGACTGGGTTGCTCGTTGTTCAGGGTTCTTTTAAGATGCAATGGTTAGCCTTTAGGGTTTAGGGTTCAACTGCAAGCCAAGACGGGGCTCTGATTAGGGTTCAGGGTGTAGGGGTTCACACTGCTTAAGGTTGAGAGTTTAAGGCTTTAGGGTTTCAGGGCATCGGGCTTCGAGGGTGTCGGGGTTTAGGGCTTCAGGGTTTAGTTGTTTGGGGTTTAAGGAGCATTTAGAGATCTAAAGCTTCAGATGTTGAGAATGCAATCTAGTCTACGGAGCTCTCCTTCATTCCCTCTCACGTGGCAATACAGTCGTCTTGCAGGACAGAGTCTCCAATGCCAGCCCCGGGTGACATGGCGTGAGAAGCATCGTTTCCTGCTGGATCTAAACGTACCGTAATGACCTCTCCCAGACATGCTGGAATCGTGAATCTGATGCGATGCCGAAAGCAAGCTTTTGCACGATGTTGTCGGCTATTCTCGTTGTACTGGCCTCACCGCAGATGATCGGGCAGGAACGTGCTCTCCGCCGCCACTTCTCAATAATCGAAAACGAATCTCCAAGGGCATTCTACGGGTTTTGGGAGCGCTTGAGGCAGGCAGGACCTGTGCCCTCAGAGATCTTCCTGCCCCGTAAGGACAGCTACGATAAGCAGGCGAACGCTCTTCTTGCTTGCGGCTGCTGAGTTCTGAGGCTGTGGTTGGTGCTGAAAAAGCCATAGTGCAGCTGTCTCAGGTGCTACGATGGTTTGTGCGACACTTGACATGGGGTCTCGAGAATTTGCTCAAGGACGACAGCAAGTGCAGGAAAGGTCATTCCAAGTTGAAAGTGTCTGGAGCTGGGCATTGAGGTCAATGGAATGCAGCGTAAGGTCTGGACCCTTAAACTTAAGTGGGGGGTCAGGTGTGCCGGCGTGAAGTGGTCGGCGCTCTGACCATTCGAAAAGCTCTCCAGCATAATTCAACAAGCTTCAACCCATAACCTGCACCCGCAGCATACATTTTAAATCCCTAACTGCCCCAAACCGTGGCGAGTCCTCATTCAAGTGGAACTCAGGGGCCCTGCTTCTCACGGCCTTGGGATGCATCATACCAGCGGCAGCAGCAGCAGTAGTAGCACTCGCAGTAGTAGCAATCGTCGTCCTCGTTGTCGTCCTCGTCATTGTCGCTGTGGCGGTGGCGGCGGCAGTGGTGGTCCGTCGTCGTAGTAGTTGTTGTTGCAGGAGGAGAAGGAGCAGGAGGGGGGCGGGGAGGAGGAGGAGGAGGAGAAGTTTTTGATGCTGTTGTTGCTGTTGTGGTGTTGTTGTTGCTGTTGCTGTTGTTGGTGGTGGCGGCGAAGCAGAAGTATATAGTAGCAGTGAGGAGGAGGAGGAGGAGACACTGCAGGTATGTATACCTGCTGAAGACTAAGACATGTATACATATACTCTTACATAATATGTATAATTATTTATACTTATATTTACAGTTATGTTTATATTTATAAAATATAGTTATATATATATACATATACACATATAAGTATGTGTATATATGTATATATATATATGTATATGTGAGCATGTATATATATATATATATACACGGAAAACTTCATGAAACACTGTTTTCATTGTAGCTGAGATTAGATTAGAATGGAAAAGATGAGACAAGACTAGATCAGACTAGCTAGATTGTACCTGCTACTTCATATTGCACTGTGCTGTAGTGCAATCCTGTACTCTCAGTCGCCAAACTGCGTTTGGTCTTGTACTCTCGCCTTGCAGAAACGCTAAACATATCACAAAGCTCCCTTCAAGCTTTCTGGAACCCGATAAAAACCCCTTCTAGAACCCTTAGAACCCCGAATTAGTATCAGAATGCATGACTTTGAGGCCCTGACCGCCCCCATGGCTGTGACCATGACCGGGGCTCTCGTGAGCGTGGCCGTGGGCACTTTCGTGACCGTGACCATGGCCGTGGGTAGGGGTGTCGCCGTGACCATGGCCTTCAAACGCTCGGATAAGTTCTCACATATCTATATGTATATATATATATGTAAATATTTTTATATATGTATACGTGTGTATATATATATGTATGTGTATACATATGTATGTGTATATATATATATGTATATATACATATATATACATATATGTATGTGTATATATATATATATATTTATTTATTTATTTATTTATTTATTTACTTCTTTATTTATCTATTTATTTATGTATTTATTTGATCATTTCTTTCTTCATTTATTTATCTATTTTATATTTTTATATTCATACACTTATAGATTTATTCTTATACATTTATATCTTTATATTTATACGGATTTAGGGGTTTTGGGTTTAGGCTTGAGGGTTTGGGGCTCAGGGCATGCGGGAAGGGTGCAGAGAAAGGAGGATCTGAAACCCAACAAACATGCGTGGACAGCCTGGAGTGCGTGCTGCCGTGCACGCGGCTTCTGACAGAGGCAATGCGACAAGCGAGCGAGAGAGAGAGAGAGAGAGATCAAAGAGAGACGACCAGCTCCAAGTAAGAGAAACCCACCCCAAGCTTTCCAACCTTGACGTTGAGACTCAGCTCCTAACCTAGGAAAGAGCCACAAACAAAGCGGCCTTGCAGCATGCGCTCCTGAGCCTCGCACGAATGGCTGAAGCTTGCAAAGGCATCAGGGATTGGGGTTTAGGGTTTAGGGTTTAGGGTTTAGGGTTTAGGGTTTAGGGTATTTCACAACACACCACGCCAAACCCTAAACCTCCACATCCTCAACCCCCAGACTTCATGGAAACCCTAACCCCGCGTTACTGGAAAGGTTACTATATCAGGCCCTGTATGAGCCTTGCTCTACTCTAGAGCCCTTGTAAGGGGTACCTAAAAAAGGGGACGGTAAGGAATCCTACAGCAAACTAGGAGGCCGCGACATTCCCGTGGCCGTCAACTGAAGAATCCCCAAAACGAAACTCGATTCCGTAAGAGAAGGGCCAATACTGTTGTGAATATATCGGAATTGTAGGTTTGGAGCCTTTGGTGTAGGGTTTGGAGTTTAAGGTTATCGCACTAATGAAGTCAATACTACTTTTGCTCGTGTTTCTACGACTTTGACTCGCACTTACCATGATTTCTGGTCTTCCTCGTTCCTGGTGATGATGACAAGGGGAAACCGACTGGGTGTGGTGATCCCCTTCGGAATACACTAGGTACTTCTGCGGCGAAGCAACCTCGGCAAAGATCTACTGCCAATCCCCAGGCCAGTACGCCGCGGAAATGGATAGCACAGCAGTATGTACGCTCAGAGAAGCAAGCGGATGCCTAACTTCGCCGTCAATGATGGGAGAGACCCATCAGCATATGCAACCGTGAACCCCAACCCCTAAACCCCTAAACAATAAACCCTAAACCCTAAAAGCATCTACCGCGAGTAAGCCGCGCCCGACCTCTTTGACCATGGCCATTTGCGACCTCGGCCGGGGGCTTGGAGGCTGGGGTTTGGGATTCAGTGTTCTAGGGCTCAGGGAGTTTAGGGTTTCGGGGTTCCGGGGTTTCGGGTGTGTAGAGCTTCAGTGTTCAGAGCTGGGAGTGCGGGCTATGGGTTAATGGGTTGGAGGCCTTAGGCTTCGGGGACCACAGCCATCTCTGACCTCCCCCGGTCTCTCAAGCGATGATAGCACAGCAATGCAGGGCAATTTTCATGTCGCGGCAAAGCCTGCATGATCATCATGATGATGATGATGATGAATGAGGAGGAGGAGGAGGAGGACATGGTGACGGTGACTACGTTGGTCATGCTGCAGCAGCTGCGCTGAGCCATGTGATAAGCTTGTAGGTCCAGAAATTAGGACTCTGGAGGTTGTTGTTTGATTTTTGCTCGACAAGAAGCTGAGGCTGGCCTCCAAAGGCCTAGCCATGAAATCCTGAAGTAACAAGGAGCTGACAAGACCGGGTTGGGATTCCTGCACCTACATTCGAAAGCAAGATCCAGGACATGCTCCCTCCCAAATCGCCGAGGAGAAATTAGATCCCGGCGGATGTCCCTGCACGCGGTAGTGCAGCACTTCCCCCCTGTCCTCGAAAGCCTGCCGAGGAGCTGAGATTAGATTCCAAAAGAGACACTACCCCATGATGCGCATGTTTACGAAATCCGCCCAAAAAAGAGTCCACTTGGAGACACAACCAGGTGCAGACCGTATATCCCGAGCAGGGCATCAAATGACAGAGAGGCTCTTGCTTCGAAGTTTACGTTGTTTGTAGGTTTGGGATTGCCCATCTGATGCTTTTCGTGTGCAACGGCCCAGCCCATGTCTTTTTACAACTACAGCCCAGCAAAGCCACCTAGGACCCAACGGAAACCTGCTGATTCCACAACGCGACCTCAGGAGATCAACTCCCGATCCGCCCGCAGCCCGATTGTGGCTTGGGTTTAGGGCTTAGGGTTTAGGGTTTAGGGGTTTAGGGTTTAGGGTTTGTGCCCTAAACCCGCAACCCCAAACCCTCAACGCCCCCACGGATCCAGACTCCCAAATCGTCCCCATATACCTTGTACTATAAAAACAGCCCCCAAAACTCCAATCATCCAGTCCCCCATATTGCTGGGAGGCCGCCTTAGTGAAGCTATCCATGTCGAGGCCGAGGTCTTCAGTAGCACTGCCGTGCATTCCCTCGTTCTTCTGCCTTGGGCAGCAGCCATGAATCTGGATAGGGTTTGGGGTTCAGGTAGGGCGTATACTTGTAGCCTTTTGTGGCTTCGCAGGATTTAGGGCTCAGGGTTTAGGGCCTAGGGCTCAGCGTTGCACGGTGTAGGGGTTTCAAGGCTCTCAGACTGCTTCTTGAGAAGTTGTGTGATTTGGGAGCTGGCTTTGCGTGTGTTGGACCCTGGCAGGATATTCGGGGTTCAGGAACTAGGCTTTGGGGTTCAGGGTTTAGGGGCTGAGGGAGGGAAAGTGAAGGTTCTGGTATGGCAGGCTGCGCATTGATAAGCGGAACCGGCGCCGAGCACCCAACTTCAGCTGATTCCACCGCTGCTTCAGAGACATGAAGACTTCGATGGTGAAGGCCTGGCAGATCAGCACAAAGCTCCAGGTTCTTTGGATCTGGAACAGATCGAGGCTGTAACCGACATTTCGTGCTTCCAGCACATCACACTTACAGGACTAGCCTTGACCAGCTCGAAGACGATGCTGACACCACAGACGTAGAAGACCGGGAACATGATCCTGATGTCGTCCGAAACATGAAGATGTTAAGCACGTCACACAGATTGAAATCACTGCGAGAAAAGGTACAAATGCGCTAGACTTGGAGACTCTCAAACCGATGTGGCTGCCGTTCAGAGCCGGAGGGACAGTGCATCTCTCGAACACGTGTCTTGACGCGACAGATATATTGATATCTATAATATATTTATATTTATAAATATAAATATATGCATATATATATATATATACATACATGTCTGCAAACAGCCGAAGCGTGAGAAGCCAATCCCCGCAGGCGTGTCCAGCTGAAGGGAACCGAGGATGTCCTGGAGACGGCCTGGTGCCCAATGAGGGGAAGTACTCTTTCCCCAAGCCCCAATGAACCCCAAACCTTCAGGGATACTATAAGGCATGAAGGAGGGGTCCAACCCTAGCACCCACTTACCTCAACATGTTGATGAACATGGATCTACCCAGCTTTCTTCACGAAAACTTCGATTTTGCAGGCGCATGCAGTATTGGGTGGAGGTCATGTCAGGGAATGCACAGAGAGGGAGGGAGAGTGAGAGAATGAGAGAGTCAGACAGAGAGAGAGATAGAGAGATAGAGAGCGAGAGAGAGTAGCGCAGGAAAAGCTTGAACCTTGCGCTTCGAAGCTTCCGCACACCCTTGCTCGCACGCTCCCGCATGCACAAGGCCAACTAACTGGAAACGCTGGAATCCAACATGCAAGCCCGCTCAAAACACATTCTCCCGGAAAGCCTCTGGAAAGTTCGGCTCGTACTCGCAGAGGAGCATGACGAACCAGACCCTTTGCTGCAACTGGGTCACTGCCAGAGGTAGACGAGCATGCTTCCGTCGCTCAAGCTTGGGATGAGTTATGCGGGTGGAGAGTTAGAAAGTGGCGAGCCTCGTGGCACTGGCACTATTCACTAGAAGCTAACATTTCCAGCAAGCAAAACCCCCAAGACTCCGCCCTCATTCGGTCCGGCCGTGCTTGCCAGGCCAACACAGCTGCACTGATCGCGTAAGACCCGGGCCCGAAGGCAGATGGCACATCGTTGAAGTTGAGCACCAGCATGTGCTTCTCCAAGTACTCGCTACCCTTCGAAAGCCGGGCGTGAGTGGCTCAGACCCTATCTTCCTCAAGAAGCTCTCCCTTCCCGTTGTGCCAGCTAAGGATTGGGTTTAGGGTTTAAGGTTTAGGGGTTTAGGGTTTAGAATTTTAGGATTTTAGGGTTTTTAGCTCCTCATGAACAACAGAGTCCGGCCCCACTCTCTGAGAATCCAACACTAAAGCTTCCGGAACTTTGCTAAGCAAGTCAGATTTCCAAGCTACCCTGATAACTACAACGCTCCAACCCCAAAGCCCCCTTCACAGAAAACAAAGAAGCAAAACACGATAAACCCTAAACTTCAACCCTAAAAACCCCTCAACCCGGTTGGGGATGTGCGGCTGGTAGTAGTGGGCATGAAAGGCGATATTGAAAGTAACAGAAGAGCAGTTAGAATGTTCTTTCTTGAGAGCAAAAGTAGTACTGGCAAGAAGAATTGCCTCCAAGCGGGCATTGTTTTCGTAAAGGTCTCCACCAAAGACCTGGAGGTCTGATCAGACTTGCAGCTGCTATTTCATGCCGCTCCCTTGGCTAAAGCCCCTTTGCAAAGATCATCGAGCTTAAATTTGTGTTTAGGGTTTAGGGTTTAGGGTTTAGGGATGGTCGTTTAGGGTTTAGGGGGCTCCACAGTTTTGTGTTGAGCGCCACAGCAATAGCAGTAACAGCTGTGACGATGACAATCAGAACGACAATGACACAAGTCCGGCCAGTGGGCAATACCGATGACAATGCTAATGAGGATTACAGTGGCAATGATGCTGGCTATACGACGGCTACCTGTAAACATGACGCGAGTGCAGATGCTCATGCCCATGCTAAGCCTGGGCTACTGCTCATGCTTCTGGCAATGAAAACTGACATGCAAGGAGAAAGCTGGAAATGATAATGGCAATGTTCATGATAACGATAATGACCATGCATAACGCGTAGAGATAGTGGTGATCATCCTTCTAATGATACTGACGGTAGCGGATTTCATGCTCACATGACAACAAGAAGCAGGAAAGCCACGAGTAGTAACAAGAGCAAACGGCAGGAACAGCGTAACCGCTTAGTGCAACTGCCAGTGCTGTTCAGCAACATTGATGCGAGAGCGACAAACATCACAACTACAACACCTAGTCGACAATAACGAATCACCATCACCATCTTCATTTTCATCATCATCCTGCTCGTCACCATCATCAGCATCATCCAGACTTCATCTAGTTTATGGAGAGCAGGTCTTCTGTCTTAAAATTTGCGCAGCACTCCAGAAGCACACAAAATCGGGGACCGCGAACATTCGGCTTCACGACTCGGTGTAAAGCTCTTACCTTTTCAGGGGCCCGCACAAACCACGAACCTCGATTCCGAATATGCAGCTCACCCCAAGACCTACGAGCCTTCCCTTGCAACAGTCGACCTGATAGGCTGCTTGGTTCCCAAGGTTTAGGGTTTAGGGTTTAGGGTTTAGGGTTTAGGGTTTAGGATTTAGGGTTTAGGGTTTAGGGTTTCAGGTTTAGGCGGTTTAGGGTTTAGGGTTTAGAATCTCTCCGAGGAGCTTGAACCGACGCGCAGCAGAAGAAGAAGACCACCACGCCCAGCAGAGTGATCATGTCCTGACGGAATAACAATAATAATAATCAAAATAGTAATAATAACTATTATTATTACTCTTATTTATGTCCTGTCGGAGACATCTTTTCCGGACCCCCCTGGGGGGCCTCTGCTTACATTTCAAGGGCGTCAGGGCCAAATCAGCAATGACGGTGGTGAGGATGCTGGGGTTCGGGGTTTTAGGATTTTTGGATGTTGGGCAGCTTCGAAGCTTACGGCTTGCAACGGAGAAGGTCGGAATCAAAATTCGCCTCAATTCATGCCGGCCTTCGATGCCATCACCAGCTTGGAGACCGTGTCGGTCATGAACTGCACCTAGTTGAGGCGTGCGAGTTGCCACCGGCAGTACACCACAGATGGCTAGGACCTCCTGTGGATGCACAGGAAGATCATCTCGTCACCTATCCGGCTAGGCTAGGCTGCTGGGTTTGAACGGTAGCACCGCATTCCAATCAAGCCTGTTCAGAGGACCACGAGTTGAGCGGAACAAAGGGTCTGATTCTTCGCCTGCGGCATCTTCGGTCGAGGAGCGACTTGTGATACCCAGATCCCTCGCCCTCAACTCCAACTCCCAAAACTCCGGCCCCGAAACTCCCTCAGCCGCTCAGCCGGATACCAATCGCCCCAACACAACCCCTGCTAAACTCTCTGCTTCCTTACAGCCCCCAAGACGACACGCCAGATAAAAAAAATCCAAGGCCCGGGCCGACTCGAGGTTCTTCAAGTTCTTGACCACCCGGAGCAGCCTGGAACAGGATCTGCCAGTGATGTCTTATCCTTCTTATTGATGCTTGTTGCTCCAAGGGATCAAACATAGAATAATGGCGACGATCATGATGACAGCAAGGACTACAAACATGCTGCTGCTGATGATTGTAACGATGACGTGACGTGATGATGATGATGATGATAATGATGATGATGATGATGATGATGACGCTGACGGTGACGATGAGGATCATGATGACGATGACGGGGACCATGACCTTGTCATCGTTGTTGCTACCTACATGAGAATCATCAGGGCATTAAATCGTTGTGGCCAGCATGGCGACTTGCACCAGCACTAGTCGCACTACTGGCAGTAGCAGCAGCAGAAACATGAGTATGACTGGCAGCAGCAGCAGCAGCAGCAGGAGGAGGAGGAGGAGGAGCAGCAGCAGCAGGAGTAGTAGTAGTAGTAGTAGTAGGCGTAGCAGTAGCAGTAGCAGTA